GAATTAACTCAAAGAAGAAAAATTACGATAAAAAACGGAAAATTATTACAGTTATTAGAATACGAAAGGGTGATGATTTAAATATAGTAATATTCTATTCGAACCACAGTAACGCAAACAGCTCCATAGTTTAAAAAAATGGTTCTAAAACAACTAAAGAGTGTTATTTTTAATTAATTTGATTATAATTGTATCAAATATGCTTCATTTAAATTTTAAGTGGAGGTGCGTGACCAAGCACTCTTAGGATTGACGACTCTATGTTGATGATGATATAAATTCAGTGTAAACATTTGAAGATAACCGAATTCTCAGTTGAAACGTTGACAAATATACACTGCAATTATTTCTTGTCCTAAATTTTCCAAAGATCAGTGCTATTGTATAAAAAACTTCGGACGCCACACAATTTAGTAATTAAGTAGGCTTGTATATGCAATAATTATAAATAGCAACATAACATTCAATTAAAACACAAAAAAGGCCAAACCTCTTAAAAATCCAACTGAAGATTTTCCAGCGGGGTCTTCTTATTACCTTTCGTGACCTTTGATGACCACCACTTACGTTTGCGGCTTCATGGACTTTTAATAAACTGTGAGAACAAAATAATGATAATACTTCTGGAAAGTCTTCAATTGGATATTTTCAGACGTTTATGCACAATGTGTTTCGACCATAAAGTTATATAGAGGTACGTATCTCATTTACGAATTAAAACAATTGTTTTTTCGCTCAACAAAAATGAACCTACAATAAAAATATTGGGACTTCAAGGAGTCAATCTTCCTTCCACCTACTAGGTATATATTTTCATTGTTAAATTTTGCTCATTGCCAAAACCTGGTAAAAATGGTAAATTTTGAAAACTGAATATACCTAACAAAAGAACTGAACTCTGTTAACGGAAAAGACAAAAAATTAATTATTTGATCCATTATTCAATTACAGAGTGGTTGTGAATCATACTTATGTGCTTTTCTTTTATTTTTTGTTGTAAATGAAAACTATAATAGATATGCATAGTCGTATGTTGTAATGCTTGTCGTACCTCCTATTTTTACCACAGTTCTAAGAATTTTTATGAGAAAAAGAAACATCACCGTATTCCATTGATGAAAGCTTTCTCATTTCGCCTGTTTTGGGAATACAAAGTATAAAGCATTTTCCCGGTGGGTAGCTGTACGACTGGAGTAATTGAAATGTGACTTCAACACAAAAAAAACATTTTCACTTATGAAGAAATAGCGGTTTCAAAATGTAATTGATTCTAAAAAACATGAGATCCTGTTTTTCAAAATTATTTTGATAGATCGAGAATAACAATTGCTAATACTTATCGTATAAGTATTAGAAGTATTTAATTCATACAGTTAAAGTACTAAAAAAAAAAACTAAATTTGAGAAATCTGGTACAAGTGATTGTCTGTCAACATCAAAATTTTTAAGAAAATTTTGTTGTATTTTACGTGCTTGAATTAATTCTAGTATTTTAGTAGTCCCTGAGGCAACACTGCTTGAAAGCTTATCTAATTATTCAAACTAATTGTCATTTTGTCAAAAAAATGTATTCTTGAATAATGGAAAAACAAAGCACACTATAATACAGTAAATCTAAGGCTTATTAGTTAGTTTGTCACTTTAACAAGTACGCAAGAGTGGCGAAAACAAGCAACGGGGAATCCCCGCTTAGTTCCATAAGCGCGCACCGGGTTGATTGATGTCAGAGTTGCCAACCTCACAATTGGAATTTTAGAAATTTTAGATCATTTTTCATTTTATAAATTCACCTTATTGTCTGTTGTCTTTAAAGGGGGCTGGGGTTGTTTTATATCCACAAGGCTCCGGGCTGCATTCCAAAAGGACCATAGATACAAAGATCTGTCCTTAGTATTTAATAATTTTTAATGTTCAAATTTTATATCACAAAAGTTACAGAGTTCATAAAGTTGATTCCAACTAAAATGCTGAAATATTAAGAACTAATTAATTTCGAATTAGAAAAACATTACTGTATTTTAATATTTAATAAGATTGAAGATATTTATTAGTAGTAGCACATAATTATTTTATGTCTGACGACTGGATGGACCGGGTGACTGGGGTGGTTCAGCGTCGGATTCCCTAGCGTTATTCNTTGTATCTAATAAATATTTTGATGATAATATTGTTCGTAGTTTTTCTTAATTAATTATTATCTTAAGTCGGATGTAAGTCGTTTATGATAAGATGGTTTCGTCCCAGTTATGTAGATACAATTCATTTGCGCACAGCTCCACTAAGTACTATTATATCTCAAAAAGTTTTGTGCCACTTGCGAACATTTGGTATTTAAATAGTTAAAACAGTTAACAAGACATGTATACATAAATAATGCTATCCAATTAGAATTTTTCTTTCCAGGTTTAGGATTTGTAGAAAATGCAATGATTCGTAAATGCTGGTGGGTTTAAAATTGCGTTTGCTGGTAAAGGACTGCTAGATCCCTACGGAAAATGACCCTGTATCAAACTCTTTGAAATATTAGATTCCGATAGTTCTCCATGGATAGATTAAAAGTCTCAATTTGCTGCTGTTTGATTACATCGACTTTCTTTCTCCATAAGTACACCATGTCGTTGAGGTGTGCTACACTTCTGCAGAGTGCATACCACTGCTAGTCCAAAACCACTTTACATCCATAATATGCAATACACTAGATATTTGTAACTTGAAATATATAATTACAATTAATTTATTATCATTTTTACTCGCGCCTTAATCTGAATAAAAGATCCAATTAATTAGTAAGTATTGTAAATTCCAAAAGTTCTATTGCCTAATTAAATCATTCAATACACAGTTACTTTCAATATATTGACTATTATATCATACTTAAGAATTTTGAATAGGGGTGAGTCAGTCGGTCACATTTCCTTGTTTGTGACCCACCTACCTCCTTTAAAAAAATGGGGGAATCAATCGGATTGTACCAGCTGATAATTTTCAAATAAGACCTGCTAGTAATTAACCATAAATTTCTCTAAGAGTTCCTGTGCTTAATGTTGCCTAATTGAACCCCCGAAAGGCAGATAGTGAGATTGTCTAATCTTTTGTAAGGTCATACACACGTAAGGGTTCCGTTATAGCCTAACCGAACCCCCGAAAGGCAGATAGTGATACGTAAGGGTTCCGTTATAAGATCCTTTTTCATATTCACTTCAGTATCGTTGATTTCTATTGCGGGGGTAGTAATGAGAGGCCCATGGGAAAATCTTCCTATTGACATTCCCTCCCACTTGCCACGTGAGGCCTACACAGTACATGAGTAATGTTCAGTATAAATTTTAATTGAGGATCAATTAGATAACTCTTTTTAAGTTAACTTAAAAGGTTTTCACAAGTTACGTATCTTTTGAGTTTTTGAGATGTCTTTATATTTGATGTTTGCCTAATTGAACCCCAAATGGCAGACAGTGGGGCTATCCACTCCTTTATATAAGGTCATGCATGCCTCATAAGATTCATCTAAAAAATTTATATAAGGAATACGGAAGAAAGTAACTTTAATTGATGACAATATCTTAAACAGATGAGTTGTTACTATTGAGAATTTGATCTAGACATCGAGAACTACCAGAATCCAAAGTTTCAAATAGTCTAACAGAAGGTTATTTTTCGTAAGGGTCTAGTGGGTTCTTTTTGCCGAAGTCGGGGTATGTAAAATATATCTATGTATACAAAGAAGCCACATCGACATTCAAGTTTTTTCTTGTATATGCCAAAGATCTTACGCAGTGTTTTAAATCTTTGGATCTTTGGTTGCAGCGTACTGGTTCAGTATCAAGGTACTGATTGATGAGGTAAGCAAAAACCTTCACTAGATTTTTTTTTCGAGCGCTTCTTCTTGAATACTAATCTTCAACAGAGAGCTATCCAAGGTTGTTATCCTTGTACTCACACACAAAACCAAGTTCCTGTACCTTTTTCCTTAAAAATACTGATTAAAGGGGAAATTACACTCATTAAAAGAAAAATTATAAAAACAGCTTATTTAAATACCAATTGTACCCAAGTGAGACGAAAACATCCCTTGTACGTAATTGGGACGTACGCAACTGATGAACATACTTGCTGCTGTTTATTTTCAGAAGATGCTGATAAATTAGAGAAATTCGCAGGCATAAAATTATATAATTTGGGAGGCTTCTTAAATAAGGTTTTTATTTCTGCTGTATTTTAGTTTGTTTCCAACGATTTTCAGCACCGCCGAGTTTTTGTCACATGATTTCGTATTACTTGTAAGTAATTGCAGACTATGTGACTCTTAATTGGTTCAAATTGGTTTATTTAATTAAGCGAAAGAAATGAAAGGTTGCAGTCAGTGAAAGTTATTTTTTAAAAATGCTGATGGCAATGAAAACAAAAGAGGTACTTTTTTTATGATTAACCGTTGCCATACAATTGACTTGAAAGTAAGAAACTTTTCGACATCAAACTATGAATGAAGAGAAAGCTTTCCTCAAAAAAATTGCAGGAGAGTATTAAACAAACCAAATTTTGGAGCCTTAGGCCTAGTCTTCGTAGTTTAACGTAAACTTAAATCCTGAATCCGTCGCTGACCTATGTCCAAACATTTTATGGTACCTACCATTAATTTACTTAGGTCGTTTTGAACATTGTAAACAATATTATTTACCTTAAATAATAATATGAATATTTTCGTAAATTAATTTTTGGTTTTAATATACATTTGTTAATGCAAACAATAAAAATTCTGAAGTAAACAAGTCTATAAGGCATTCGTAATATTAGTACGTAGTTTAAATTGTAAGCGTGCTACTACATACATAAATTATTATCTTTGGACCATGAAACTCAAATTTTTATTCATAATTGTAAACATTCGTGGAATGTCTGGGAAATAATTAAGTCATTTTGTATCTAATAAATATTTTGATGATAATATTGTTCGTAGTTTTTCTTAATTANGACCATAGATACAAAGATCTGTCCTTAGTATTTAATAATTTTTAATGTTCAAATTTTATATCACAAAAGTTACAGAGTTCATAAAGTTGATTCCAACTAAAATGCTGAAATATTAAGAACTAATTAATTTCGAATTAGAAAAACATTACTGTATTTTAATATTTAATAAGATTGAAGATATTTATTAGTAGTAGCACATAATTATTTTATGTCTGACGACTGGATGGACCGGGTGACTGGGGTGGTTCAGCGTCGGATTCCCTAGCGTTATTCTCACCGCTTGCTACGCTCCCGGACGTTGAACGTTGAACTGCTTGAAATAGCTGCTGTAAAGTTGTCATATTATTCCTGTTGTTGTTCTCCTGATTCATGTACTCGGGATCGTTTCCCAAATAGTGTCGACACAGAGGGCACGTACTGTGAAGGTCTAACCACGGTTTTATGCATTGATCATGGAATAAATGGCTGCAAGCTAGCTGACGGACATTCTCGTCTAAGACAAATTCTTCCCAACATACTGAACAAATGGGTTTAGAAATTAAATGTTCATCGGTTATTTTTACAGTAGGAATTGCATCGAGCAGTTCTTTTGGCAAAGGCGGAGTACCAGATCCTTCCATTTGGTCTAACAGTTGAGTTACGATAGCATCGAATTCTTCCCTGGTATTGGCATAATCTGCGGCGTTTCCAAAGATCACTTGAACGGTTGTTCCGTCCTCCCCTGTACGTATCATTCCGAAACCTCGGAAGAAATCTGTTATTATGTTTTCCAATTGCGGTGGTATCGGTGTTTCTTCGGAAGTACCTTGGACGGGTTCCTGAGGTTCTCTTCTCCATCTTATGACGTAATAACTGGGCCTAGAGTTATCAAAAGTGTCATCGTCTAATGATTCTGCAGATGCTGGAGTCGGTTGACTTTCTGGTGGTAGTTGTTGTGAAGTTTCTTCTATGAAACCGGCCCCGCAATGTGGACAAGTGAAATTTTCGTTTGGATTATCAAACCTGGCATGACACCTATGACAATAATATCTCGGTATGGGTTCGGCCATTTGCTTCTGTTTTTTGGTCAATCCGTTACAAAACGGGATAAGTCGCAAGCTAAGTTCGTACAAGTGTCACTTGAGGAAATTTTGTTTAAATCTTTTAGATGAAACTGAGAATGTTCTTTAAAAACCATCACGGCTTCTGAATATGTCGCCACTCGCCAGTTTTATTGAGACAAGGAATAAACGTTATCGGCGCGTTTTCGGTAACTTTTGCGACACTTGTCACATAATGACAAGTGTATAAAGTCATATAGATCCTTATTCCTAACACTGAAAATACATATACCCAATTGTTTACGTATTATAGTTACATATACACATAGATATGCACGACAGTGTCTACCATTAGAATTTCTACATATTTCTCTTGTCTATTAGAAATAGTTAAAAAGCGATTGGTTTATTATAACTATATGTTATCTCAAGTTAATAATAAAAAGACACAAAAAGGAGTGAGCAAATATAATGATCTCGGTAAAGACTTAAAAGGGGCTAACTTAGTAAACTTTAAAAGGCAGCTTAATTTATTGTATGTAAACAAATTATAGTATTATACTTAATTGAATATATAGAACTGTTTTCGCATATTTTTGTTATTTTTATTATAAGGTAGTTAAGGATAAATACGTATTGCGAAATTGTGTAGCTACGCTAAATAAAGCTATTATTATTATTTCCCGGTCTTCTCAGTTTTTAGTGGCTAATTTTGAGCAAGTGAAGACGGGCTAATCCCAAAAAATCTTACTCACACCTTTTAGGATACGATATTTTATTTTATAGAGCTAACAGTACTTCTTGTCCTGAAATATGATCGGTTATTATTAAAAACTTCGCTTCTAATTTAACCTCTAGTGTTATCTGAAAAGGGGGATATGTCAGAATTGTTAAGAAAGCTGCGTATCAAGGATTACTGATTTCTGTAGACTTATGTATGTAAGTTTATGTGGTTTCAACTCGGCTAGGCTAGCGTGTAATATTTTAGGCCTATTGATGATATTATTATTGGAATAATTGGAATAACTGTGTTCTGATTCCATATTTCTTTTATTTCATCAGCTAAAGAAATATATTTTTGAGTTTTCTCAGTATGTTTTTGTTTAAGATTTTCAGTGTTTGGTACAGCAACATCTATTATTATTATAAAAAAATGTTTCAACCTGTTCGGGTCTAAAGGCCATCGTCGATTGCAGTTGCTTCCTAACGTTTCGCTAGTACGAGTGGCGAGCCTCTTCAGAGGCTCGAATCAGGATAATATCAGCTCAACTACTGGCAAATTTGTCAGAAAGTCAAAAAATTTGGCAAGTGAGACTTCTCTTAGTACTGGAGTTAGCAAATTTCCCGGGAAATCTTGAGCTAGTTTGAATTAAATCAGATGTTTTTGTTCTTCAAATTTCGGAGCAAAAGGAGTAGCATTTTTTACGTATTTTTAACCATGACGAATTTTAAATCGATAGTATTAATAATTGCAAAAATAGTCGACTGTGACATACAAAGGGATGCAAAGACATCAAAGTTCTACCATGGGCTTCTATCTTTTTTGTAAGATGTCCTAGAAATGAGTAACACTTCAGAAATTTTTTTTCTTATTACTTTTTGCGCAGGTTTATATAATAGGTTCAAACTCGATCGTCTACGTGAATTCTTTTGTGAATGGAATCGTAAAATTCTTTATTGTTTACTGAACTGATTGGTTTCTTTGAGTTGCGTTTGGTCGGTTTTCATAATGCTTAGACAACGTTTGTTTTGAATGAACGATTGAAGCTTTAAAACGTAACTTATATTTTCAATTCTTGATTGAGTATAAAGGATAAATGCGACTATGCATCAAACACAAACGTCTTCATTCATTATTTCCCAAACATTTAATAATGGAGATTGCACAGGAGTTTTGGTATATACACACAGCAAAGGTCCTACTTTCCCAAAATATGTATTAGGTAAATTGAAAAGGAAAAAGGACCGAGTTTGTAAGAGTTGCAAGTTCAGAAATAGTGAGTTGTTGAAAAAAGAGTTTGTTTTGGTTATTAATAATATCTTATAACATTAATAATATTTTTGTTTGCACAGTTAAACGCTCGCCGACGGAATCATGCCCTGATTAGAATACACGCGTACCGTTGAGAACGGTACCATCCGTTCAAATTTGAACGGGTTATATTAGTGTATGTACTATAAAAAGCTGTACCAATAGCTTCAATGTAATGTAGTAACTGCAGTAAGTTGTATTCTTGATTATCGGTTCTTAGCTGAAAGTTTGTTGATTACATTTGTTATTGATTATGTGTTTGTGCTTTCGCTTATTTGCTGATACCGTCAAGTGAATTTATGTAGGATTTTATTCTGAATAACATCACACAAAATAATACTTTAAAATGTATACTTACTTTAAAATTTAGACTTATTTTAAGAATACGAAATTATTCTTCTTAAAGGGCTATTTTTTTTAAGATCTAGTTTCCTTAGGAAGTGACGATCAATGATGAAGGTTTGAAAAAGAAATGTTGTTACCTGCTTAGGTATTATCGATGTACACAGGGTTTTACAGAAATAATTGCCGAGCCTTAGAGAGTATGTAAAAAATTTAAAGAAAATCACAATCATTTACAATCCGAAGCCGGTCCTGTGCGTGAATTTACAAAATAGGTGCATTTCGAATAGCGTAGTAGGACAATAATTATGCATTGATGGAGAATGTAAACATTGCCGATTATCGAGCGTGTACTTTTAAGATAAACAAAAAAATATAGTACCACACATAATATTTAGACTAATTAATTAAATAAGTACATTACAGGCAGCAGCATGTAAATGTACGGAACACAAAAGAAAGAGAAAATATTAGTTACGTAAACATTAGTAGGTATTGCCAAGGTGCGTTCGTTTTTTGGGTGGGGTTGTAAATACACTTACCAAAAAAGTTAAATAAGTCTCCAGAAATTTCGCACCACATATTTACTTGAAAACAGTTCTTGCAATCGTGAAAAATGTACGTCATGCAAATTTGCGCCACACCAACAGTGATTATTGTAAAAATTCAAAATTCCGTCCCACGTGAGGCAAATTTGTCTACATATAAACTACTTACATCCTTTGAAACAAATTCGAAACCAACGACACAAATCCACTCACGGCTGAATATCAGATTTAAGTAAGTCTTGCACTGGTCGCAAATGATAAGGATGCAGCATGTTCCTTTGAAATTTGCTATACTGTTCCATGAGAGGATCCAGCGTTCCTTGTTATTTCGCGTGTGCTGTTTTAGGAATTGTCTCCTTTGAAGTCGAGGATTTCTTCCCTACAGCGGCAATATGGTTCAAACCCGTAAATACGTATCATGTCACATTATTCTAACAACAACCGTTCTAAAGTGATTGACTTACATTAATGTTTGATGGCTTATAGCTTGGATTAATTTAGTAAATTGCACATCGATTGCCTCATACAAGGTTTAAACATTAAAAAAATAAACGGCTACTACAGGTTTGCTATTATCATAAACGTCCTAAATCACACTTAACCTAATTTAACAAATAAATAATACACGAGCAAAAAATTTCGAAACAAATACTACACTAATATGACATCACCAGCCTATTGAGTGCAACGTTGCGGACCGTATTTCTTTGTCAGGGCCGGAATTGAATTTACCTTTACCTTCAACCACGTTTTACTAAAAACGGCGCCTTTTCGGACATACAAACATTTACTTAATTTTTGTATTTTATAGTGCTCTATTACCTCCTCTAAGCTCGGCGCTTATCTCTGTTACACCCTGTATTAATTGTATCACACTAATTTTTGTTTTTCGACCAATAGGAATATTTTTAAGAGAGTTAATTTATTCCAATGAATAATTCGTAGAAAAAAAATCCAAAAATATATTCCTATTGATTAAAAACCGAAAATTAGTTTGACCCAACTTTTATACATACATCGAGGAACGGTTGGATAAATAAATTTGAGATATTATCCTTGTATGTCTATAAGTACATACATATATATCATGTACAAGTACGTACACGCAACACAGAGCTGCCATCCACATAAACGGTATAAAGTACTGTTGAACTGGGAATCCAATTAAATGTCGTTAGTTAATCTGGACGCCACATCTCGGACTAACGGCTCTGGTTAGCGCAAAGTGGATTGCAGCTTTATAATTATCTCTAATTGTGAAACCTCATTAGCGGTACGGCTTTTGCATACTCACGGAACGAATCGATTTCGGTGCACTGGTTGGACCGAGTTACCTTGTTCTCGCAAATTCGTAATCATTTGATAAAATTAATATACGTATGCGGATGTAAGAATAATATTTTATTGTTTACAACTGTAGAGATCGATATACGGGGGCAAGAGATTAGTATGCTTAGATTTGCAGATGATGTAGCAGTATTAGCATCTAGCAAGGAGGAGTTAGATATAGCTTTAAATAAAATGGAAGCGGTGTTGATAAAACGGTATTGTATGAAACTAAATGGGAAGAAAAAGTAGGGAAAAAGCGAATATAACGATAAGAGACAAAAAATTAGAAGAAGTGACCGATTTTAGGTATCTAGGAAGTCAGATAAGTCAGGACGGAAGGAGTACTAAGGATATAAAGCAGAGGATAGCGCAGGGTCGAGTCGCATTCAATAAAAAGAAGTCACTTCTATGCTCGGTTAATTTAGAAATTCAAAAAAGGTTGTTAAAGGTGTATGTTTGGAGTACGGCGCTGTAGGGATGCGAAACATGGACAGTGGGCGCGGGGTAAAAGAAAAGTTTAGAAGGGTTCGAAATGTGGTATTACAGGCGAATGACAAGAATACCGTGGATAGAGAAGGTTAGAAATGAAGAGGTATTAGAAAGAATAAGAGAACAGAGGACTCTATGGAAGTCAATAAGAAATAAGCGAGATAGGTTAGTAGGACTCAGGCATGAAGGTCTAGTTTGAGACATATTAGAGACCTATATTAGATTACTGTTTGCAAATAGTTAAGGATGTATGATTGTTCTAGTTTTAGGGAAATGCGAAGATTAGCTCAGGATAGGAAAGATTGGAGATGCGTGTTCAACCAGTCTTAGGACTGACGACCTTATGATGATGTATATTAACCTTGGAATATACAATTTACATAACCGATTGTGATTGTAAATTCGGCCGATTTAATGTGTTGTTGTTAATTACAGTGGTAAATTTGGCCGGAAAGGTATCGTAGCCCTCAAGAATAAATTGTAAATTTGGCC